AGAGACTGTTCTAATTTTTTTATTTTTGAGAATGGATATGAGAATTATGGGTTCTTTGTGGGAGGGGGGGGGGGATGATGAAAATGGTATTGGTTTAGTGCCCCTATCAACACTATTAGGTTATTTGGTCGCTTTTAAGGACAAGCGGGGTAACCCAGATTTCGGGGGTTTCCAGAAATCTTGACCTACACCAAAAGTGGGCATTGCTCTACCTACAGATCTAGGAGAAGTTTGGTTTCATTTTTGTGTATTTCTTTAGTTATAGAGAAAACTCACGGTCTTTTAAAGAAACTGAACAAGGGTCCAAGAACTTTAACTTTGATTTTCTCAAAACATTATTTTTCGGGATAGCGACCATTTAAGAGGTGGGACCTCCGAGTGTTCATCTCTGAAAGGACCGAGCAAATTGGGAAAATCGTGTACAATACCTTTCCCAAGGACATAATGTTGGACTGAGTTGAGGCTCGAAACCCCCAACCCACAGTCTCACAATTTTGAGTCCATTAGCGGGTCCTTTGTGATTCAAAGGAAGATCATAGGACTTAATGAAGAGAGTGCACACTGCTTACCGAGTTCATTTGACTCAGTTGGGACCAGTCAGATTTTCCTTTATGGAGGTACAAAAGCAACCATAATGGCACAGTACAACCAATTCCACTCATGACTGAAAAACAAACACATTTGATTTTGAAGGTCACAGTCAAACTTACTCGAATTCGGCAAAGATGCTACTCAATGTCCGCAGGCTGCATCCAGCCTGTCGAACAGTTATCTCCAGTCAATACGAGAGTTTTTAGGTAGTCCATCATGAGAATCCCCTTAACACAGAAACTTACTACAAATAACATAAAAGAACTTATTGTCAAGTAAAAACACCAAACACCTAGCTCTGACAAACTGTTTTAAGAGCGAACATTGGTTTGCCTTAATTTGTAATTGGCCTATATTTTGTCTGTTTTAATTCATATCATTTAGAAAAAGGTTTAGTTGTCCACTGCTCAACGAGTGTTTATTTTTTTGTTTTAGTACCAATTTTACGACACTTTCAACACTATTAGATCATATAACTGTAAGTGCCGAAGATTAGAGGTGTTACAAGAGAAAAAAGGAGGAGAGATAAGTACGCTAGATGTGTGATAAGAAAGAGGAGTAAACCACACCAGAGCACCAGCCAACAATTCAGTGTCTATTCAATTTGGCCTGCGACTTTGTGTAATTTGAGTTTGGCCCTCTAAGCGATTAGTTTGACACCTCCGTGTAAATAAATGCGCCATTTCTTATAGTCTGATTTTCTTGTGTAACATCCTAAAACAAAAAAAAAGAACAAGTTTCGAAGTGCTGATGATAGAACACATGCTAAAGAAAAAAAGGCTTTCTGTTTCAGCTCTTTGTCACAAACAAAAACATTTATTGCTTTCATTGAATTTTATAATTCCAGTATGAACAAAAAAAATTTATATTCTTATAAATGTAGGCTAGGTTAAAAAGGGTGCAGGTAAACCATAGAGTTACCCCGAGGTAAACAAAGACATGTGAGTGAGAATTGGCATCTTAATAGAAAAATGAAACAGTCCCTGTAGTATTCAAACAAAATACATGTAAACTTTTTACTGAACGTGGGTGTTTTATTCAAAATCAAGCGATAAATGGAGCCTCCAAAACAGGATTCTTCAATTTGAAACTGGCGATCCCCTTTTCTGCACTCACCTCTATACCCACAAACACTAACTTTTCTCAACTTACGTTTACCCATATTTTTTGTTCTTTGTGAACTTCTCCTGCTTCCTGATGAGTTACACCATCTCTCCCAGTATAGAAGCTAGACACCCATCACAGAATTTGTTTTATTGCAAATGTTTTTCGCCCGCATCGTCACAATTCACAATTAAGATCATTCAGGGGGCACGCTGCTTCCGTCTGGATTCAGGATGAGCTGCTTTTAACAGCAGACAGATGGAGATTCTTCAAAACATCTCTTCCTCATATATAAATAGAAACTACAAAGTACTGACAATGTATCAGCTTTTGTATTTTAGACAAGCCCTACTATTCCCCCACAAGTGGCGGCTTTAAAGGGAGAGAAGAATTTTTTAATCCTTTTTTAAGAAGCATGTCACGCCGTAAAAATGACAAGGCTCTGATTTCACTTTTTGCAACCATTGAGAACTAAAAGTTACACACTACACATTACTGATGGTGATACCGGTGATACCTTGCACACTGTGTCAAAGGCTCAAGAAAACCTGACCTTCTGTTGTTCAGTTTAACGCTGAACAAATAAGATGTACAATCAGTGTAGCAACAAATCTATGAATTCCATTTTCTCAAAACTAACGCCATGGCAGAACATTCTTCTTTGTCAATGCACTCCTCGCGAGATGTGGTGTAATGATATAGGTATAACGCACCTATCAACACATTATATTATTTAAGAGACGGGACCCTCGAGTTGAACGTCCGTCTCCCAAGGGACCAAGCCTAATGGGAAATTCGTGCAATTGCAAAGTGCCTTTCCCAAGAACACAACGTTGGACCGAGCTGAGGCTCGAACCCAAGAACCCGCAATCTCACGATTACAGGTCTGGTAGCCTAACCACTAAGCCACCAATGCCACAATGGAGATGCGAGTGGTGGTCTCAATCTCCTCACTCCGCCACAGATTCTCCCACCCCCTGCACCTGGTCCATACAGAGGTGTAGTGTCGGGAAGCCATGAAAATAATACTGTACAAGCCCAGGAAGCAAATAAATGTCTCAGGAGAGAAAAAAAATGGTTTCATTCTTTTTACAATTGTTCCTAAATTATGTACTTTATTCAAACCTGACTTTGACAAAACTTTATGAAATGGATAACTGACTCTTATTTATACATAAAAAAAGAAGATATTTTGTGGGTTAGCCAGTCTTAAACAAGATTGACAATGTAATAGGGCCTACCGTTTATGACGATTTTCTTATCAAAGTAATATTCTGATTGAAGTCTCAGTTCTTAAATAAAGGTGAGGATAACTTTAGAATATTTTCCAAACAGCAAGCCTGTAATCAGGCCTACTTTTTAAAAATTCAACTTTCAACATCCAGGACGACTTTCACACATGATTCGACTTCCATGTAGTCTAAACATTTTTGTCCTTTTCTTACACGACAAAGTGTTTGGTCCCATCTGCTCTTAAGTCAGATATTTTAAAAGTATATTTCAAAATGAACTTTAAAAAAACCCAACAAGATTCGACCATCAATCCTTGCACAAACTGGGGTTTGAACCACTTACTCTAGTGCAAAAGCAAGCCCTTGACCTCCAAAGTAACAACTCCCTGTTGCACTACATGAGATCATGATGACGTGCGGAATGGACTCCTTTACATCCACCTGTTTATACATGATGTACTGAAAACAATGACCAGTTTATATCTTGAATATAATAACGGTAAAAACCCAAGAAGAATGTTCCTCTAGAATGGGTACACATAATACATGTAATGGTGATAACAACAAAAATATTAATAACAGTAATACTGACAGTAGTAATAATAATAATACAAGGGACATATAATGCTTCTTCTTATTCTCTTTCTTCTCCTTCTTCTTCTTTTTCTTCTTCTTCTTCTTCTTCTTCCTCTTCCTCTTCCTCTTCCTCTTCCTCTTCTTCTTCTTCTTCATCTTCTTCGTCTTCTTCTTCTTCTTTTATTATTATTATTATCAACAGTATGATCGTCATCATCATCATCATAGTGATGATAATGTAAGAACAATGAAATAATAATGTAATTAAAAAAATGTTTTAAAAAATAATAACAATAATAATAAAAGTAACTGTAACGATCATTATTATTATTTATTATGATTGATGTCAAATTACATGTGCATATATATATATATATAAAATAGAGAGAGAGATATGGAAAACACAAAAATATACACACACACAAACCAGTACCCGAAGTAAACCTTACTTGTACATGTAGTATCATTCTAAAGCTTTAGTCTAAAATCAAAAAAAGAAAAAGTACACAAATCATAGTCATTGAGGTACTGCCAGATCAAATGCAAGCAAAATAAATGGGCCTCAACATGCCATATGAATGAATAAATGGCATTTTCAAAAATCTTTTTTTCTTGTATCCCACCAAGCATTAATCGTGCAAAAAGTAAATCATTAACACTGTTTATATGGACACTATATTAGAGAACTAAACGAAAAATACTTAAATTTTAACTGAAAAGACAGTAGCTAGAGGCATTAAACATTATACTGGTTTGCACAGAGAGAGCACAAAAATCATTTTCAGAATACCGCCTACTGAAGAATCAAACTTTGCCTGACTGATGGTCGTCGCCTTACGTAGGCAGAGAAATAATCAGTGGAGGTGGTAAAGGTGCTGATATACTCATAAAAAGACGATGGCAATAGAATCAAGAAACAGGGATGGTTGGACTTGACAACAGAAACCATTTTAAAAGAAAATAAAATTAAAGTCGGGAAAGAAACAGACGATGATACACGATATTTTACAAGCAAAATGAAAGTCTCATGATGAAAAATAGGATGCAAATAATAATAATAGCACATTTAACAGTAATTAAAGATTAAAGCAACAAAAAAAAACAACAACAATGCTATTCATGTTGGAGCTAAACAGCCTTTCAAACTTAATGTAACTAAATTCAAAGTGTGGGTCCTCATCAAGACTGTCGGCCATACGACTGGAAGGCGAGAAAAACATTTTGACCCCTTTGTCTGCAAATCTTAGATTCGCAACCCATGGTCTAGCAGCAGCTAGAAATAAAAACAATAGAGATAATAACTTGGCAACAATCATACTGAAAAAAAATTACTAATCAGAACAAGGATTACTTCATCATCATCATTTTCATCATCATTACATTATCATCACCGGAGTAATGATCAAATCATCATCATCTTCACCATCACCATCACCACTATGACCATCATCATCATCATCATCACCATCATCACCTTCATCATCATCATCATCAACATCAACATCATCATCATCATCATCATCACCATCACCATCACCATCACCATCATCATCATCATCATCATCATCATCATCATCATCATCACCCTTTTGCATCATGACCATAAAGATCATTAGAATTAGGATACCCAAGTAACTGAAACCAGCATTTCATGAAAACAGAATCATTCTGCTTTTGATGGGCCTTGAGATTTAACTCGGGACCGTCTCTTACTCTCTCTTCGCCACCTTTCCACCTGGTGATGCCTGTCTCGTTTAAAGAATCCAAGCTGCAGAAAAGAATAGACATAACATGTTTTAAATTAACAATATTATATTTACTGATAGATCGATCGATAGATTTAGAGCGTTGTATTGACAAACAGACACACACACACACACACACAAACACACACACACACACACACACACACACACAAACATACAGCATGCATACATGCATGCATAGATAGATAGATAGATAGATAGATAGATAGATAGATAGATAGATAGATAGATAAACAAAAACATCAGGAATATTCATGTGTTTATACTTTATCCACATCTGTTTACATGTAGCTGAAAGTTGTACATGGCTGGTATGCATGTTTGTGTTTATTTCATAACTTAGAAGTAGACAGCTAATACATTAATTATTGTATTGCTTTCGAAATCATAGATATCTGTGTAGAGTTCAACACAAATACAAAGAGGAGAGGTAAAGGTGACCAGAGTGCAAAATAATCCCGAAGAGACGGGAGAGAAAAAAAACCCCCGGATTAGAGACAGAAACAAAATCATGAAGGAAAGTAAAGAGAATAGGAGAGGAGTAGTGAAGCATCAAGAACTGATATAGATAGATAGATGCGCAGACAGAGAGACAGACAAACAGACAGACAAACACACAGACAGAGAGGTAAATAGATAGATAGATAGATAGATAGATAGATAGATAGATAGATAGATAGATAGATAGACAGATAGATAGATAGAGAGATAGAGAGATAGAGAGATAGAGAGATAGAGAGATAGATAGACAGAGAGAGAGAGAGAGAGAGAGAGAGATAGGTATGAGAATAACAAGAAATTCTGATGAAACTGATGACAAGAAATGTCTGATTACAGCACCTTTTTAAGAACTAAAACAATGACAGTGATCAGTACGAGAGCTCCAGCGACGCTTCCAACTATGATCCAGATATTTATTTTTCCACTTGTCGATGCCAGGTGAAATTTTGTCATAGTCTGGAAAGACATTAGAAAGATATTATTCATCATTCCTATTGAAATAAAAGTGTGTGTAGGTCAATGTTTTTCTTTATTACTTTACGGCACTTGAAACACAAATAGGTCACAAAAGTGCCTAAAAATTAGATGTATTACAAGAGAAAGTAGGAGAGATAAGGTCAATAGATGTTGGATAGAAAAGAAGGAGCAAACCACACCTATGCTCCCTCCAACCCCTCACTCTCTTAGGCTGCTAATGTTGTGAATTCATCTATCAATAATCGGTGTTTCCATCTAGTTATAAATCTGAGGTTTTTGCGCGGTTTTGTTGTTCCACTGAGTGCATTCCGTGAGTATGGTCTGGGGGAGTAGGAGGGGAGAGAGGAAGAGGAGGAGGAAGAAGAGTAGCTAGGACATGATGAGGAGGAGGAGGAGGAGCAGGAGGAGAAGAAGAAGAAAGGAAACCATACAATGGTGATGCCAAAGGTCTTCATCCTAGTCCTATATGTTATCAAAGCCATTCAACTTTCTGACTTAAGATTTACTTAGTTGTAGTACAGTCGAGCCTGTTTAAAATGACCACCCATTGTTGAGGAGAGAAAAAATGCCATCTTAGACCATAATTTGTAACCTAGAATTACAAAGTTCTGTCTGCTCAATAGGCCTACCTAGTTTTGAGAAATTTGAATTTAAAAACTTAATTTTCAGATCATGCTTAAGTTTCTTTAACGCAATTCTTTGGATACATCTTGATAACGACTCCGAATAATCTTAAGATTTTGAAAGAGTAGATAGAACACTTGGTTTCTGACCTATGGTCTTAGTAATTCAAAACAACCAGAAATGTCAGGCAGATCTTTGTCATTCTAAGGTAGCACATTAGCACTCACCGTTGTCTTAGGCTGGAATTGCCACGACAGAAACAATGGATGGGAGGGCGTTTGGACTTCGACATCCGTCAGAAAATACAAGGTGTTGAATCCCTGGATGTGTGAGGAGAGCAAGGACAAAAACAACATAAGAAAACAGTTATGGTGTGGCATCAGTCTGAAAGTTTTAGAAAGAGATAGAGTGTCGTGGCGGGAGAGGTGAGGAGGGTTGATCGACAGACAGACAGACAGACAGACAGACAGATTTCCACAGAGACAGACAGACAGACAGACAGACAGACTGGGTCAGATCTCCGGTACCCTTCTCCGGTACCCTCAGACAGAGACAGACAGACAGACACACAGACATACAGACACACAGACAAACAGACCGATGAAGTGGGGGAGGGGGGGGGGGGGGGGTAACAGACAAAAACCGTGCTCATATTAATTTGCAAGTAATTGACCACAAAACATGAAATACTTCGTAAGTTTTCATAATTTTGAAGCATTGGATATATCATGTTGATTTTAGTGGGAAGTGTGTAGATTGTTAGTAATCGGTGAGTGTAGGTTCTCAGCAAACACTTTTACCTCAGGAATGGGTACATTTCGTTTGTCCAAGGACATGGAGATGTTGATCTCTGCATACTCCGAAGCTGGGATGGCATGTGGAAGTTCACACTCGTACACATAACAGTACTCAGGGTTCAGTTCACAGGACTGAAACAAAAGAGAAAGGTTCACTGAAGGTGACAGTTGTAATCAGAATTCACGTTTCCACAGCTGTGAAAGTCATCGTGAGTGGTGTAACAGTTAGGTGCTTCACTGTCACAAGCAGGACACCCATGTTCGATTCCAGGGAAGAGAAAATATTATTATGGAGTATCTCTGTCTTTCAGCAGGGATGTATCCCTTTCAGCTCGGGTTGGTCCTAACAGGCAGGGCCGGAAGCCCACCTCCAAAATGATCTAAATTGTAAATTGTGTTGATGGGGGCGTAAAACACTTATTAAAAAGTTACGAAACATAAATGAGAAGGGGTTTATCAAGAATTAGTCAGATACATCTGCTGGACATGGAAAATGTAAAAAAAAACCAACATGTTTTAAGCAAATAAAACAAGAAAGGATGAGATAATACAATGTAAGATAAGATATGCAACAATGTAAGACATGGTGGGGGGGGGGGTCTCTCGTGGCCTAGAGATTAAGGTGTTTGCCTCTCATTCAATAGGTCCCGGGTTCGAATCCGGATAGCGGCGGAAATTTTTCTTCTCTAAAATTGTCTCCTTTCACGTCCTTTCCTCCTCTCTAGCAATGTTCAGTTGTCTGCTTTCATCTCCACTTTCTGCCCCCACCCCCTCACCTCCTTTGCCCCCTCCTCTGGGCTCCTGACTCTTTCTGCAGTCTTCCTACTGCTACTCCTTGGCTCCTTCTTACTGCTGTCTTTCAGCCACACCCCTAATCTTCTGGTAGGAAAAATCTACACCTTGCTTTCTCGGACAAAGACAAAAAATGTCAGAGGTCCCATGTGCAAATTGTGCACGTTAAAGATCCCTTGGTGGTCCAAAATCAATAAGAGTAGGCTTTGGCCACCACTAGAGTAAAAATTCAAAATTTCCTACCAACTGAAAATGTTTATTTAATGTGTCCGGCGCGCTCATATGACCTAATGCAGTTGCGAGCACCGTAAAACACTTACCCCCCCCCCCCCCCCCCCCCCCACCCAAAAAAAAGACATGGCAGACACACAAGTCCGATCAGCAGCAGACCAAAGGCAATGTTGCGACACATTTTTAACCATTATTCACAAATCAGAAACATGAATTTGTATTATTTCATTGGATGCTTGCCTTTTTAATGTGTCAGATACAGAAAACTGAATTTAGCAAATTGTGTATGAATAACAAAGTCAAGGTTTTTTTTAAAGTGCCAAAAAGCACATTTTCAATCACAGTTAAGAGATGTGTTTACATTTCCCCAATGAATTAAAATCATATAAGGTACAATTAGCAAAAAACTGGGAACATCAAGATTTTCTTTGTGCTCCTTGGTTACTTTTTAAAAGAAAATTATATACAGGCCTGAGGAGAAACATTAGGAAGTGTGTGTGTGCGTGTGTGTTTGTGTGTGTGTGTGTATGTGTGTGTGTGTGTGTGTGTGTGTGTGTGTGTGTGTGTGTGTGTGTGTGTGATGTGGTTTGTTTGGTTTTTTGTATTGTTTTGTTTGGGGGTTTTTTTGGTGTTTTTTTTTTTTGGGGGGGGGGGGGTAAGGGTTAGAAAAAAAAGCTAAACTATCAATCTACTAACAGTTGTTGTTTTTTAAAGTGACACAAGTCACAGGTAAAGTTTGAGTAAAGTTAGTTGAAAAAGGGGGAAATCTATCTATCCAAGATGATTTATCCCCACTTAATGATTGAAGGATTACAAGTTTGATATTTTCGACAAAAAAATGTCGCTGCTGTGATCACAGGAATACATACTGGAACTGATTGTTCTCAGATAAACCTGCTACCCGTCATATATACTTTTCATTAAAATATTTTGCCCTGTTGACAGAAGTAATAATTATATAAGATTATATTTTTGCATGACGGCCTTGTAACTAACATAATATGAAAATCCTGAAGTTATCAGAACATTATCATGTAACAATAACACGAGCAATCCTGTACGTGCTCACAAGTAATGGAGTTGGCGCTCCATTAGCTCATTTGGTATCATGATAGACTACGGAGTGGATGGCCGTGGTTCGAAACCCAGACTGGGTGTTTTTGAACTTGGGTTGTTTAGTGGAGTTTTCAAAGCTCTCAACCCATTTGACTTGGTTCTGTCAGAGACTGAGGTTAAATTTGGAAGTTCCATTTCTTAAATAACCTAATGGTGCTGATAGGGGAGTTAGCACTGTGCACTAACAAGAACTGAAATTACAACCAAAAAAAACTTTCCTTAAAGAACCACAAGCTCTAGTCTCACCATCACATATGTTGTATCCAACACTTTGGACTTGTCATCAACATTGTCATCTTGAGCTTCATCATCAGCACTTCTCTTCCGCCTGTTGACATTTGGCTTGAATAAAAAAGCGGTAGTGGTGGTGGTAGGTATGGTGGTTGTCGTGGTTGTCGACTGTCCACTCTGTGTAGTGCCAGTGATGCCAGCGGTGGTGGTGGAGTAGCCAGACGACGATGAGGAGGACTCTGTTGCTTTTCCTGTAGTTGTCGAGGGCTTCTGAGTAGATTGCAACCCTCCAATTTGAAAATACTTGGTGCCCAAACACTGTGAGGTTACTCCAGCAGCAGTTGTCATCTGAACAAAGGGGAAATACCATGCAGAAATACTATGTGGGCTATCTGTTTTTCCAACCAATGTTTAGACATCAGAAATTTAGAAAATTATGTTGCAAAATTTGTTTTAATAAAAGGCTAAATTTAGAAAATTATGCAGCAAAATGTATTTTGGGGATAAATGGCAAGCACATTTACCAGGTAGATGACCATTTACAGCTGGCAAAAAGCTAGACAGATAAGTAGCCTCCTCCTTACCTTACCATCAATAATATGAGAAATACACAAAATGAGTTACTTCTCAGATTTTAGCCCTATGGAGATCCTCCAAAGGAAAAACATGATAATCCAAACAGCAACACACCTGACCCAGGTCCTACAATTGCATCTCCAGTTGTGGTATAAGAGGACATAACAAGTAGGGGTGGGGTGTTGTTGTTTTTTTTGGGGGGGGTGGATTGGTTTTAAAAAAAATAAAAATAAATATATCCATCCTCGATTGCGAGAAGTAGCTCATTTGTCAGCACTCCTTACATTGATATACCATATTTCATTTGTGATCTACCATCTCTGAATACACCAAAAAATAAAATATACTATGCCCTCATCATTCAGTTAAACAACAGTTAATTCTGAGAGGAAAGTTATTGCTCTGCAAGAAAAATTTACAAGTGAGTTTTAGGAAAATTGTCATCTCACTGCATGGTTTTGACACTCAACAATACGCAGTATGTGCACACTCTAAAAGGCTATATTGCAGTCTGCGGTTCTAGCAGAAGTTGTTCTGAAAACCTATAGCAGCTGTTTAATTGTAAAAGCTGTAACTATAACCTAATTGTGACAGACAATCAAAGGCTGTTTGCAAATATCCACGGTTCTGCATTGAACAGATTTAGAGAAAACAGAAACAGGCTGGCTATGTTCCCAAACCAATTTCAGGACAAGGCTGTAGTATTTCAAGAAAGCTTTCCAATTTTCCCTCCTGCCACTCCCCCTTTCTTCTTCTTCTACTTCATCTTCTTCATCTTCTTCTTCTTCTTCTTCTCCTCTTTCTCCTCCTCCTTCTACTCCTCCTCCTTTTCTAAGCACTCGACTGTGTCAACTCTATCGATTATATTATATCCATCGCCTATTTTCCATTAGTAAAGTAGGGTGCCATACTGCTCAGACAGACACAAACTTTGTCTCAGCTTACTCCAGGCAATGTTGTCAGGGGCTTGCTTTTGTTCCGCAATTTATTTGGAATTTTGCCAACATAAGTTTGACTTTCCACTGCCACAGTGTCTTTTCTGGGCTCAAGATTTGTACTAAAAAAGATTCCTGTATTTGTTTGTGGTCATCCGAAAAGATAGTGCGATATCAAAGTAAACGACCTAACTTATCCACTGCATGGCCTTTCATGAAGCCAGGGTCGAACCAGGCTCTTTGAAATGAGAGGTAATATTTTTTCCATCAGACAAAACAGCCGTCCACCCACGCCCCCATTCTGTCCCCATTTTGTATTACACGAGCTCTATAGCACGCCAGATGCCCTTTACAACTATTATTACCACAGCAGACCCGAGAACACTCAGAAACATTCTCAGCTTCCGGGGAAACATGCGGTGCAAACTGCGGACTGTACGAGCTCAAACACTAACAAACTGACAAAACCTTTTGCTGTCTATAGCCGGGTACCCATTCCCACCTGGTTGAAGTGAGGAAAACTCTTGTATAGTGATTTTCTTAATGACACAAAGTCTGGCCCCTAACAGAATTCGAATCCACGAGCTCATTGTTGTGAGTCTGAGAGCTAACTACTAGGCCACCGACGGCACTGTCTGGTACATGAACATGCATTGCTTGGCACCTTAGACGTTTTACCAACAACAAAACAAAAAGGAAACCTCATTTTTAAAATGCATTTTGCGTGTTTTACAACCTGACATGGGAAATAGGGGATAGCATACGTAAATTTGAGGTATTTGGGCGCTCAACAGTTTACCACACTACACTATAATTTGCCATGAGGATAAGGCTGTTACTCTGGAATGTATATTTTTGCCTACAGAAAAAAGGCTACAAACTAGCAAAGGTTAACTTTACTCAAAACTCAAGTTCTCCCAGAAGACTAAACAGGTTTAAAAAAAAAACCCCACATAAAACACACTCACGGTGACATTTGCATCTACAACAAGCTTAGAACCGTCGGTCAGGTAGGTAGGGACTTTGACAAACACTGAAGTGGTTGGTAAGGAACTCGGGCCATGGTTGGTGATGAGGACTTTGTGTGTGACGTTGAGGATTTCTCCAGAAGGAGAGGATGTCTCATCCTCTGAAGGCACATCCACGAGCTGAGTCAAGGAGATTTTTTTTCTTTGGAATACTGTTTGCTCTAATGGGGAAGAGGAGCTGAAAGACATACGCGAGTCTTTGGTTAGTTGGTTGGTTAACTGGTTAATTGCTTGATTAATTCATTGGTAATATGGTAAGCTCTTGGAATGATTGATCGGTTTTACAAGACATTTGGTTGATATGTTGGTTCACTGGAGGTTTTGGTTAAAGATTATTTGGTTGATCTGTTGGTCAATGGTACTTTGGTTACATGACTCTGTGACTAAATGGCTACCTGCATGGGGGGTGAGTGAAGAGAAGAGATGATTTTTTGGTGGTTGACTGTTTGGTTAATGGACAGTATGTGAAATGTTTTATTGTTGGGTTTTGAGAGATTCATTGAAAATACATGTGAGGAGTAGTGATTTAGAGAGAATGTTTTGTTGATTGTTAAGTAAGTGAGAGACGTTTCGTTGATTGTTCAGTTGACTGAGAGGATGCAGAGTCGTTCGGCAGATTGAAAAGTCGCCAGACTGCTTGAATGATAGTAGATTAAATGTTTGGGTCATTAGATGGTTGGGTGGCTGGTGGATGTACATGTACGTAGGCACATTAGGTGGTTGGGTAGGTGTGGAAGTAAAATTGTATGTATGGATGAATCAAATATTTTTTAAAATAGACTAACTATACCTATTATTGATAGAGAGGTAAACGAAGGGAAGCAGAAAGAAGGGTTTGGGGACGGATATCTTTTAGATGCCAAAGAGAGATGCTTGGGGGAAAGAAATACTTTATATTGGTTGTAAAGCAAAGTTTGTACTTCAGGTTCATTGACCACGTCTAGAAACCATTGGTGACGTGCGTGATTGTGTGTATGCATGTGTTTTTATGGGTGTGTGTGAGTGTGTGCGCGCAGGTACACATGTATATATA